CATGATGACGTCTAGTCTGTCAGCCAACAGAGTAGATGTGCTAAGCGAATTAGTCGCAACTCACACCGTCTGGCTGAGAGCTGACAATCGAATCAGTTCACCTGCACATTGCATGTCTCCAAGGTACAGACACTTCCAATTAGGACAACCCCTCCATACACTGTGTATGGAGGTTTTCTATCTCGTTCGTTCGATTATTTAGCAAAAAAATATGCTTTAAGAACTAGTTTAACCTTGTTATAATTTCGTATATATCTGATATAAGCTGATTAAATCTCGACTCAAGTCAGTGTCTGTCAGGCATAAAAGCCATACCTACTTGTCTATAGAAAAATAAATGACCACGAAGCGGATACAGTAAAGGTCCAGATCTTAAAGATTGTAGCGCAACTATTTATATATATGTATTTAAATGCTGGCTTCGCAGGAACGCATTGCTAATAATTTTCTCGATGTTTTGCGTCAGTATAGTTTAAGGTTGCTTTTGGGTTTCTTTAACTTATGACACGTATACAACAAGCGCTTTGAACCTAAATGCTTAGTTATCTATATATAAATAAAATGAATGTTCGTTTGTCTCGCTAAAACTTAAGAATGGCTGGACTGATTCGGCTTACTATGATGATCTTGAAATATTTGTAGAAGTTCAGGGAAGGTTTAAATGGTGGGAAACATAAATAATAAGTAAAATGAAATACTAAAAACTTCCATTTAATTTACCAATAAAAGCTGTACCTAGCTGGGAAATATTTGTCATATGTCTTTTGTCTTTTTAGAAATAAAATATTTGTCACTTAGTTGTCATTCATTGCCTAAGTTAGTAAAAAATTTTTTACTAAGTCTTGAGACAAATGTAGGTGAAACGAAGTTCACTGGGTCATCTAGTGTTATATATATTTGAATAAAGAACAAAGACTGTTCAACAGTTCGTCCATTTCATTGCCTACGAATGGGCGAATATGATCCCCACAAATAGCGTCCGCCCGTCTGGACGCATTTAGTCCAAATGTGAAGTACGTACGCAATCAATCGCGAGTGCATTAGCCATTAGGACAGTCCCTTTGTCCCGCGGCGCCAGGTAAAACGATTAACATGGCGACGTGTGGTGCAGACTAGGGTTAACTGAATTACCATTTGTCGCTTCAGCTACTGCCGACTGCCGACCTCCCAGACGGTATATTAAGCGATCTCGCCGTGATACCAGCGTGATATATGGCCCCGAGAATATTATGACAGTGAATGATTGTATTGGCTGCATTGGCTTGCGTTCTGCAGCCCGGATCGGCGAATTTGTAATTCCTATAAATAAACAATTCCAATGCAAGGAAATAAGATCGTACAATATTGTCTAGCGGGTAAAACACATTCAAATAAAATTAATTTTATTATTCTAGCTTTGTGTTAAATAAAACAAATCCTAATTTAAAAAAAAATTCTTTGACACATTAACGGGAATTTATTACATTACGTTTAGTTATCTAATTCGACGTTTTATGAAGGCAGCGAAACGCTCTGGCTGTCGTGTGGTTTTAGGGAGGCGAGTGAGGGATTTGGGCATAATTCCAAAGCATAATACGAGCAATCTTGAATTGGGAAAAATTTCAAAGAGCAAAATACTATCTATATTTTTTATTTAATTATATTGTAGATCAATATGTATGTTTATTGCTTAAATCTACGTCGCACTTTAGTTCACAATCCTGGAACACTTAGGCAGTTGGAAAGCAGTTAAACTTGTCTTTAAGCAGTTAAAATTCAGTTATAAAAAAGGAAGGCTGACTCTGTGCAATACTATTTGGATACAACCTATGATACGAGTTAATAAAATAATTTTATAAATTAAAATATTAACAGTATTTAAAATATTCTTAACCTATATAGTAATAATAATAATTAAAAATAAATAGATATGTATTAAATAAATTTAACACGTTTGGTACAGGGACCAAACTTTGGAGTGTACCTTTAAGACTAGTAGCATTTCCTCGCTGTAATGCGATACCTTTTCGTTGAGAATGTAAAGCACTAAAGCTCTGGGCCACCGGTATATTGTAAATACAGTATACCTATTTGTGTGTTGGAAATAAATAATTATATCAAATATTAACAATCACTGACAACTTAAATATCATATAAAAAACATTCACGAAATATATAAGATGTTTTTAAATAATTATAAAAAAATATAGCATTTAAAAATAAATGCAATTAAAATAGTGGAGTTGAAGAGGCGATAGAGGATCATCGCTAGTAAAGCCCCTGCTGGCTGCGATTCACGATATCGGTGGATTTATAAACGTGGACTTAGCAGCTATTTCTGTACTGAACAGCTTCTTGTTCATCATCCATTGAAGGGTTTATTTGGGATTCACCTCATTCGTCTGGATAACGTTAACCCGCAACTTATTTCATTTTATTCTATACTTATATTATAAAGAGGGGAAAGTATTATATTTTGTTACGAATAAATATTGTTCATGAAATTGTCTATTATCATTAGGTACTTTATTTAATCAAATAATCATCTATTACATATTAGTCCAATGCGGTAACAATTTACATATTACATATAAAACAATACATACACAGAAAAAACAATACAACATTAAACAGTAATAGGTTAAAATATTTACAAAAACACTTCAGTTCTTATACTATAGGAAATAGTTACGTATATATACGTATATTTCCTATAGACCTACTGTAGTAAACATATTGTTATATTACTCAACGGACAATTAAAACCTCTGTTAATCTATGCAGTTCAATTATGATTTTCATACATTGTGGCATGTGTGAGAGGATCTAGTAACAAAAGTTCAATAACAAAAACAACTGGATCGATCTGGATTTTTCTCAGTAATACAGGCTATATGTACAATGTAAGTGCGTGCTCCTATTTCACCATGCCTCCTGCTGATAGAGGACAAGTCTTTGTTTTTAATTTACTTTATTATTATTTAGATGTCATGTGGAACATGGTATAATGGTTGCAGCTTCTTACAAACGTTGTGCAAAACAACAACTTGGCGATTAAAAGGAGTGGTGGAGATTTTATTGCCAGTTCTTCTCTTCCGTTCTATGCCCCTGATTTGAGAACTGGCAGTAAATGTAAAATTAAAAGCATTTAATATATATTTTTTTGACGTTCATAAGTGTATAATGTAGCGGTACCTACACGAATAAATGATTTTTGTTTGTTTGTTTGTTATATTGAGTTTCAAAATATAGTAATAAATTCTAGTGAGAAGCCGAACAGATATTAGAAAATTACCTTTCTAATGAAACACGGTTTGAGCGGAGTAAGGTTGTAGTTCCATGTTCTGACAAATAACTATTCAGATTGATGCAGTTTATGATGTTAAAGGAATGAGCTTTTGCCTTATACGCCAGAATTAATGTAAAGGTAGCAGCGTAGGTGGCGTCGTGACATTTGCTATTGCTAATAACTTAAAACACAGTCGCAATCATCATTTATAGCAAACAATTATATGAATTTAACAGACAATTGGTACAAGTATGATCGAATTTATTGTTCTTCTGTGAGTCATCACGCAGATAAACTAATGAAGAAAGACTATAAGTAATATATATTGATTATGTAATCCACATAACATGTTATAACATACAAGGCGGCTGATGATAAGTGATACCGCCATAAATTGACATTCACAATGCCACAAGGCACGCGTTGCCTACCTTTTAAGAATTGGAACGCATTTTTCAAGAAATATTTTGGGTTTTAATAGCTAATGAAACAAAATGGCTGAACTATAAAGACGTGTTTTAACAAATATACAAGTACTAAGTGGTGGAAACTATGCTGAATGTAACATAAATAATGTAATACGAAAATCAGGCGATAAAAATGCTAGAAAAGAGTAGTGTTCGTAATATAGAAAGGAATTTAAATAAACAACTGTTCTGTAATAGAATCCTGGCCAAGGCCTGCGTGTGCGTTTCTCTTCTTCATATTATAAAAATACCAAATTACAATGTTGCTTTGTTAATTGTGCTGGATTAGTTACAATTAACTAATAAATTAAAGACTCATTACGCAGGACCTAGATGATTAGTAGGATCGAGACTTCCTTTCAACAATGATGTCAATTATATCAATGCTGACGGTGTGCGGTCACCGTTTCCTCATCCCACGAGGTGACCCGGTCAGGGAAACCGATCCCGACTAGTTGTGACATTCTAGTTATCAGACAGTGCAAGCGAGAGCGACTAGCGTCTATACTAGCGTTTGTTCCTATATGTAACGACTGAATATACAAATAAATATAGATTTAACTATAATAACTTACAACTTTAATTACGATTTTAAATAATACGGAGCTTAAATAATTAAAAAGTTCAGGGAGGCTAGAATTAAAATACATAAACTGTCACAAGGAATCATTTAAATTATCGAATGATCTCGTCAAGTAATTTACAGGCATGCTATATATAATAATAACTACATAATGTCACTTTCGGAGATTGCATCGAAAAGTTTTGATAGCTGAGGAGAGCTTTTAATACATAGAATCAATAATATTGATTTTTATTATATTATAATATTTATTTAGTTGTACCTACTTTTGTTTCAGTATGTGACTTTCAAATTCAAATTCAAAAATCATTTATTCACATAGGTAACAAAATGTACACTTATGAACGTCAAATAAATATATATGAAATGATTCTAATTTTACATATAATGCCAGTTCTCAAATCAAGGGCGTAGAACGGAAGAGAAGAACTGGCACTAAACTCTCCGCCACTCTTTTTAATCGTCAAGTTTTTTGTTTTACTTAATATTTGTAAGGGCCTGCAACCATAACACCGTGTTCCACATGACATCTTAAGTAATTAATAATAATAAAATAAATTAAAAACAAAGATTTGTTCTCTATCAGCAGGAGGCATTGTGAAATAGGAGCACTTACATTCTCGTGGTCTAGGACTCACCGTCAAGCAGTAAAATATTAAAAAGTTACTTTAAAAAAAAGTAGATGCTACCCGCTATGCTTATCACAGGGGCGCGGTCTAAAACGCGAAGCGGCGCTGTCAGAGGGAATCAATTTATGGATCCTCTGCATTCCTCGCTTGATTGTGACGAGTCTAACGCGATTTATGATAAATCACCCGCTATCAGGGAACCGTGGGACGTGCGGGGTGCGGGAAGTAATTACGTTCACCGCTCCGCTTGCGGTGACACCTCGCATTCAAATACCTAGCAAGACGTGAGTACTTAGAAAAGCAATTATGTTGCTGGAAATGCGGATATCATGTACATTCACAAGAATATAAGACTAGATGACCTGGTGACCTTTGTATACATTGTGTCAAAACATACAAATTTTTTAGAACAGACCACAGTGATCGGACCCATACTACAGCTTTAAAACACATTTTTGAAGGCATCTTCTGGGAGTCAAGTTATTAGTTAAATCGGTCCAGCCTTTCTCGAGTTTTAGCGAGACAAACGAATAGTAATTAATTTTTATATAATATATAGATTCAAATCATAAAAGGTATGTCTATTTAAACTTATCTCTTGGCTTATTATTGATAACACTGTTGAAAAATGTTATTAAAGACGTACATAGAGAAGTATTATAGTATGACTATGAAAGTGTGTAATAATTATAGAAGCCTCGCAAGTGCATTGCCCGCATTTAAAGTAACTACAATTATATGATAAAAACGTATCGTAATGAAGGAGTGTGAAAAGAGAGCAGCAAGTATTGTTGTTCGTTAATGAGGGGTGCTCAATTAGAGACAACGAACGCTCTGAACGCTAACTAACCTAATACCGACGCCAGAGGCACTAGACAAACACGCACACAAATCAATTGTATCGTTATTTTAGTTATTTTAACAAGGATCTTAGGGAAAATAAAAGTTCATGTATTTATATTGTTTTTCTGTTAACATCACTTGTTATATATTCATGAAAACTTTATGATTATGGCACTCTAGGCTAAAGTAATTATGTCTTTTTCTATGAAATTCAGTTTACACTGTAATTAAGACAAAATAAATATAGTTAAAATGCAATAATAATGGCATACATATTTAAAGAGTAATTGGCATTTTATTTCTACAGTAAAATTGTGTAGACCAAGCTTACTATGTCAATTCAAAAGCGATTTCAATTATTTATACTCACTGATAACTTAATTAGGACCCCGATTTCGTATTCTTTCAATGTTCTAATTAATTTTGGAATTACGTACGAAATCTTAACATTGAAGGCTGAATCGCTATTGAAGTTAACTTATTGTATGGTCCAGATCTAATACAATACTATCATTAATCACTATCAATACATTTAATAATAAAAATAATTGAGGTTGAATTATTTTATTAAGTAGGAATTAAAATATTATCTTATGTTAAAGATGTAGCCGCAGTATGGAATGATGATGATCTTTTTAAGTGTGATGGTATGCCTGTCCAGGAGATACCATTTAACCTCTGCTTTAATGATGGGTTCATTAAACTGTCTACGGTAGATGGAAGGGGGAAAAGAGTTACTCTCCTGTTTTTCCAAGAAACGTCCATCAAATTCGTGCATTGCGGCACCTTCCAACAACGAAGTAGTGAAACGCCAGCTTACTTCTAGATGTTTGAAAGGATGGCGGAACAAGGAGCATTCGCCGGACTCGTAAATTATGAAATGAAAAATAATTTGCAAACTATCCATAACAGTCAAGTTCCGGTCGAAACCAAATCTACGAAGAATATTTCAGAAGATTTAAATGAACTTGTAAGTTTCAAACAAAATAGTATAACCCGGCAATGTTAGTTTAAACTTTGCCCTACACTGTAGATGAGGTGAGATGTCGGCTAATAGCCGGCTAATGAACAAGCGAGTGGCTAGACGGGCTTGTTAGCTGACTGTGTCCGTGAACCGTCATTTACTGTTTAAGTTAACTGAAACTGAGGTTTTGACCGTTAGCTTTCAGTAAATCTATTTGAAGTACTCTCAATTTGAAATGCATTTAAATATATTATAAATGATTTTAAAGTAAATGTCTTTGATACAATATTATTTCTTAATAGATAAAACTTTTCACAGTTTAACCAAACTGAGCTTCGAGAAGCTATGTTTTAATGCATATAAAATTCTGTGGCCACAGGTCAGAATATGATAAATGCAATTTCATTACTTAATAGGACAAGCAATTAAATTATTAAGAAATCTTGAAGGCACTATTAAAATATGAAACACTCGATATATGAATGAATGTACTTATCATTGTCTGATCTATGACCACAGAAATATTTTAATTAGTTACTTCCAAATGATTTTGTATATAAAAAGCTGAGATAAAGACGAAACTGCGTAAATAAAATCTTCTGTATGGTTCCAGGGTAAGCGGGCTTTAAATAATAGAGGATATTATATTCGCTTTATATTGACCACTAACGTATAACAAAAGCATAAGTATGTAATTTAATGTTAATTGCTATGAAATCAATGTAAATGCTTAAGAATACTCTATACTCTCTGGTGGTAACTCCGATGATTCAGGTAATCGCTTATAAAACTAAGAAAGCCTGAGAAAAATGTATACCCTTGGCTCGTAAAACTCCACTATGTTAGGTTATAACTAGCAATTAAAGAAAATCAGACTGTCAAACGTCACTATTACCATTTGCTAATCAAATAGCAAATATTAATTAATTCCTAGTATCACTGTAAACTGCGTCGTACCAAATTCACAACATTTTGTATTTTATACTTAAATAACAATTACTATAAAAATTGAAACTGAACCTCAAATTTAAAAACGTGTTCACTTCACAGACATGTAAGTGACCGATCATTCTTGCTCACACTACAGCTGGTTCTATGAAGTAGTGACTCGGTAAGTGATCGATGCGAGTTCCCAACGGAGTGGGGTTCGAGTCCCGGTACGTGATTTGTAACTTGATGTGCGTAATTGGAGTCTGGAGGACGGCCCTAAGTAGCCATTTATTAAATTAACTCGCGGAGAGGGAATTACCGCCATTATGAGATGATTTGTGTGTTACATGACCGCGCAACATCTCACGTACACGCCGTACAATTTGTTGACATTAATTATGTAACTGACTATGGCGGCATATAACTGTAGCTTATTTATTTTTTACATTAAATAATCATATTGATATAAGTAAGCCTTTATTTTAGATTTGTTAAATAAATAAATTAAACAATCTTTTTTGGGTAATAGTTGAGCTCATCCAAGGTTTTTGTAAGTTAGTAGTATTAGACAAATTTCATACAGGAAAATAAACTAATTCGAATGTTAGCGTAATAAATATGCATTGAATATTCATAGTTTGCGACACAGCCCACCCTAGACGTTCAAAATAATTTACTACTATAAATTATTTAGAAATCCTGATATCTTATTAGGTCCGCCATAATACTATGAAATAATGCGAAATCTAATCAGCTTATAACTGCAAGCTATTAAGAATTAAGAGCTACGGGCCAGTATTAGGACGCATTACCTGACTCAGTCGACACAAGAGAGAGCTTAGAGCTTAACTAGTATTTACATTGCATTAGCGGATATTGAGTGTGACAGTACTGACTGGCGGAGACTAAAGTCAACTTAGAACTGCCTTTTATCGCAATACATCACGTGCACTGTGAAGTATCTGTTGGTGTGACGGTTCAGCTACTTGTACAATTAAATTTTCATTTTCGTGTATTGTACTGTACTGTAGTAATAATAAACTTAATATACGACATCTTATTAATTAATGCGTGTGTAAAGCATCTTTTTAAACACAAATGAAGCTCATCTGATGTTAAGTGAATCCCATGGACCATGCATGCTGGCGAGTGCGTTGCCGTTACGAATTGGTACAGATACCGGCAAACTTCTTGAGCATTAAACTAGGGATGGGGGAAGTTTGCGCATCGTACACAAACGCGGGACACAAACGTCAACTGATTTACCAATCACGCGATCGACACGTCACTCTCCCCCCCAGTGATTCCTAAAAATAGCTTCTGCGTAGGCAAGGACATTTGTTCAAAACGTTTGCCGGTATCTATACGCTCTTTTTGGAGGCCCCTAAGTCTTATTGCTTCGGAATACCGCTTCAAACAACGCTCAGTTTTAGAACGACGGACTTCGAGGTGATATGGGTGGAATTTCATATTCTGCCTCGACGTCCTAATGAAACTCAGTGATGATAGAGCGTTAGTAGAATCATTAATTAAGAAAGATTGCTTCGCAATCCTTTGGACGGGATATCCTCCTGTTATAATATATATTAACAAAAATGGGAACTAAATAAATGACCAGTGATCTTTTCATTTCTATTTAAATAATACTAACGTGTAAATATAGGTTAATATCAATGTGCTCTGAACGGATGTCAAACAAAATTGTCAAACAGGCCTACTCAGTCTGGCTGAGGTTTACGTCAGCCACTGGATGTCTAAATATTATGATAAATGCTGATTGTAACTAATGCACTATTGAGGGGTTATTTGAGGCGTCTCATGAAGATGAATTTCATATCCCTGTTGGATGGGTTTGATGACGTTCAACACGCAACTTTGCGATCAAGTAAGAAGAATGTACGAGTGATGCGTGTGTTTCTCTATAATCTGTGGCCATTTGGTCATTGCCAGGTGTTATAGACATAGACATATCCATAGACACGGATTCGTTAAACATCCTAAGTTTACGTGATGAAAAAGAAAACAAAGAATGAAAAAACGTTTATTTGATTAAAGCACATATGTATAAAAGAAATCACTTTAATAAATAAATGGGACCAACTCAAATTGCTGTTACTTGCAACACTGATTTTCAGTGGACCCATACTATCTTGAATATACACTGAATAAAACAAAAAATTTAACAATTAAGATAAAAAATTATTTAAAAACAGAATAACTAAAAATCTAATTTCAAATTTCGCTACCAAATTACGATAACGTATTTTCGAATATATTATAATATCAAACGAGTTATTTTTTTAGTTCTAATGTAACAAATTCAGGATGCTCAAACGCCTGATGTACAGTTACTTTTTATATTTATTATAATTTAAGCTTGAATAATAAACAGTTTAATAACTCATAGTATCACATTGTGTATTATCTCGTTATTCGTGTTTCAATGGCGGCGAACAATACGCACCCAAATTAACGCTCATTTCTGTATTTTGTTGACAGATCCAACCCTTAGGGCCTTCAAACCAGCGAAATTTGAAAAAATACTGTACTGATTATACTATTGATTTAAAATTCGAATTGATAAAATTTTAACTAACTCGAAATTTGAAATGATTTACTGTTATGGAATAGCAATATTATATATACATACATAAGAAACCGCAGAATGAGTCATATCGAACTAGCATGTCTAATTATTACATAATTAAATTATTTATGTTGTCATATTCTGTTAGTAATTCAAAACTTATAATACCAAGACCCTAATGGACGGTAGTGTTCTGTAACCTTTGGGAAGGTTATTAAAGCCGAGCTGGTGATCCTTTAGACGCATTATATAAAAAATATCAAGCCTTATTGAAATAAATGATTTGACTTTGACTTTATTAAATAAATTTCTATAAATAGAAATTGAATTGTTCAATTTGTAGAAAGTATTATGAAATAATAACATTCAGTTTCATGGCCACACTGTAACTCAGTGAGTTCCTTTATCTCATGATCGCGCATTAGCCACACAATAGTTAATTATGTCATAATTAAATCGTCGGAAACACGCAGTTACTGAAGAAAAGACATTAATGGCGAGGAATGTGGAACTCTCTTGTGTTTTAGCGTGAAGGAATTTTCTACAAAAGACAAAATATTGTCGTTGTTAGCGCGATATAAACGTTAATTGTTAGGCAACTATTTTCAGAAGAGCAGTGTTGGCTTCAGCGTGGGACTCTCATCCCTGAGGTCGTAGGTTCGATCTCAGCTGTGCACCAATGTCCGGTCTATGTGCGCATTCAAAACTCGATCGTACGGTGAAGGAAAACATCGTGAGGAAACTGGCATGCTTTATACTCAAAAAAGTTGACGGCGTGTGTCAGGCACAGAAGGCTGATCACCTACTTGTCTATTAGGAAAAATAAATGATCACGAAACGGATACAGGAATCTGAGGCCCATACCTACAAGGCCTTATTCTTATTCTCAGGATACTGAAATAGAACCTTTTCGCAATTGAACCATATCATTCGATAAGCAACACAACCGAAGACACAAAAAACAGATCTTTAATATTCTCAATAATATTTTAGAAGTCCAATAGTAAATTTAGGTACTATTGAAAACTACTATCCGAAAATAAAATAGTAACTTTATGGTTCAAGATAATTAATATTACTAATCACGATTTATTTGTTTATTTATTAACACTTCGTTGAACATAATTAAATGAAAAGGAGGACGGCCTTATCGCTTTCGAGCGATTTCATCCAGGCAACCACTGTGAAAAACATGTATTAAATTAGATAAGGTTGCAAGAAGTGCAAAAATACATAATACATATAGTTATTAAGACAAAACTAGACAGAAACTACCTAAAACTAAGTAAAAAAATACAGGAACAAAAAAACTAAACTATGAGTAAAAAAAGATAAAAAGTGCACA